CTCTCACAGGGAAAACTGACAAACTTGAAACAAAAACCGGTTCTAAACGACCTCATCTCCTCCATGGCCCCATCAGCTGGCCTGAGAGTTTGGAAAGATATGAAGCTTTTTTTTAGGTATTTCTTTTAAAAGATTTTACTCTATTGCCTTGGCCGAGTAGTTCTGTATCCAGGTCCTGTTGTGGGGAAAAGAAAGGATGAGCCCAGGGACTTCGGTGCCCAGTGCTGTGTCCTCGTCGTGCACGACTCTCCTATGCGCTGCGTGGAGCACCCATCAGGGGCCTTCCTGGGACACTGGAGCCCGCACTTCTGAGTGGCCTTGGGGAAGGTTCTCAGGCCCAGCAGTGCCCTTTGTAACTCAAATAAAGGAGCGGGATGTTGCTGGGAGAACACGTTGTCATGGAAATACACATTAGATTTTTTTTTTTTAAACTTTTCCCATCCTATTACATAATCAGAAAAGGCTCAGAATAGATACAAATAATCTAGCAGAAGAGTAGTGTAGAAGAGACCTCCAATTGCTTTCCTATGTTGAAGCCCCTTAGTTTGCCAGGCAGAAATTTCAGAGGCATGACATTTTTCTCTGAACTAGGAAAGATGCAAACACTCTCCTAACTTCTGTCCAAAAACACACATACCTTCTCTTTGTTAAAATTAAAGGAAAAAGGGAAACATAAGGAAGCAAGAGAAAGGTGACTTTGAAATTAATGTTAAAGCCTAAATTGTAAGCTAAAACTTTATTTTGGGTCCTATAGGCCCTCAGTGTCGGGACCCTGATACTCTAAAGGGCTTTCCCTTTAAACAATATAATTTCAGACCTTAGTGTGCATCAGAATCACCAAGAGGACTGGTTAAAACACGTTATTTCTGGGCCTTCTCCCTAGAGTTTCTGAGTCAATAGATCTGGGATGGAGTTGAGAATTTCATTCTACTAAGTTCCCGGATGTTGCTGACGCTGCTGGTCTGGAACCACACTTTGAGAACCACTGCTTTAAGAAATGAAAGGGCTGAATCAAGGATCTAGGGGGTTTACTTATTTCCATGACTACCCTTGCCACAGAAAATTCATGGCATAATATTTAAATGGCCAAAACATCAAATTGGAAGGATCCAGTATACATAGGTTTAATTTTCAACTGTCTTGGTTTCCCTGCAGCTTCCAAATCTTGCCAGGTTTCCTCCCTGCAAGGCTGTAGCATCTTCCGGTTTGCTACCACCTTTCCCAGGACCTGTGGCTGGCAGTGCTCGCTCACGGGGCCAGGCTGAGCGGACACGCACGCATGCACCCTGGGCAGCAGGGACAGCCAAGTTGGTGGCCCATATATCCCTGATGAGGTTGACTAAGGACTCATGAATATAAGATAAGGCTGATTCAATTATAAATGGCAGTATCTTCAGGCTTTGGCCTTTTGGGAACAGTGTCCCGAAGACCATTTTATTACTTACGGCCTCCTCAGTGGGGCCGTGCACCAGAACTGTGAGGAGCTGTCACAGTCATCGTAAGCGTGTGCCTGCATTCCCCTGCCATGTCCATCCCCATTAATAAACCCTCTGCAAAAGCACGTTTTTCATCCCATCATGGGGGCTGGCTTATACAATCCACTACTTGGCTGTAGCTTAGCTAATGCCCAGGATTAAGGAAAGAAAAAATAAAGTATGATGAGGAGCTGCGTTTGGTGATCTGGGTTACTTCAGCACTTGACCTCTGGTCAAATGTGTGATGAGGACCATTTCCCCTCCCAAATACTTTGCAATGAAATCCTTAAGGTCTCATGTAGGTATCTCCCTGATCCTGGTTTGCAGGACTGAGTCCCATTCAGTCAGGCAAGCTTCACCTACATGCAGGGTATAGATGGTTCTACCCAGGTGCTGATGTGAGGTGTCTGTGAGAAACAGCAGGCTACCACTTCTCTCTTCCTCTTTTGGACTACTACAGGAAATAGAGTTACTCCCCAGACCACTGTAAGGGGGTATCCCTCTGAATAGTGTGACCCTTATCTCAGGGAGCTAGAGGTGAAGAGATGGTGAGATTAGGTCCACTTTGAGTCCTGCAAACTAGGGAAACCAGAAAGCAAGAAATGAAAAAAAAAAAAAAAATTCCTTATGTCTTAAGTCCTTAAGGAGTATGGCTAGGTCAGTTGGCAGGTCGGCAATTCAAGACCAAAACAGTACGCCAACCAGTAAGGATTTCATTGTAGGGTCTTCCTGTGAACGTTTAGCCAATTCTTCTTCCCTGCCAGCCTCTACCTTCCCAATGGTCGGACTCATGACGAAGACATTGGTATAGGGATTTACACAAAGACAGAGATAAGCACTGTCGAGCTGCCACAAAGCACAGATTTTTAAAAAATATTCTATGAAGCCTCAGAAGATAGGAAACAGCAACAGCAGACTGCTCACACACACACATCAGGTCCCAGGTTAGCCTCCAATTACCTAGTATTTTATTTTTAGAGCTTAGGCAAGAACTGAGAGACAAATACATTGGACAAAACTTGTTGGTCTTCTTCATCCAGAAACGAGAGGGACGCTGCTGAGGAACCTCTCCTGGAGCTGTGGCTCTCCCTGTAGGTTGACGTTGGGTATTGAACCATGTCGTTTCCTAGCCAACTTTGGTGAGGGGTGGAGCTGGGGGCTGGAGAGGAAGGGAACAGCACAAATTCCAGTATTAGATAGGCTGGATTCTTCTGAAGGTGCCCGGGGGTTGAGAATTTAGCTATGGGATCCAGTTTTTCTTTTTTTTGAGGGATCCCGGTGGTCTCAACCAAGAAGCAGGTGCGCAGGGAGGAGAGAATGCTCTGGATTTGCTCCTTGCCATTAATTCTAGGGCAGTGAGTGGGGAGCTCAGGTTCTCTGCTTCAGAGAAGTCTGGACGAGCGTCCCGAGAGGTTATAGCACCATGAGGAGGCTCAACCTTCTGCAGCTGCCACGTAACCATGATTCCTTTGTGAGATGACTGATTCCCACAGTGAAGGGCCCAGATGTGCATCTGTAAACAGGGTCCCAGGCTCAGGGAAAGCTGAGGCTTCAGTATCACCTCACTAGCTGGAAACACACTTTCTGGAGGAAAGCAACTGAAGACCTGGGCTAAATGCAGCCGTGAACTGAGAGTGGAGGGTGGTGGATCCCAGGAAACAGAAATGAAAAGTCATAGCAAGAGAGGCCTCCAGAATCAACTTGCTGAGGATCCAGATAAAATTCACGGTGGTATCCATAGTTACCAGAGAGCCGAGAATCGCTCTGGGGTCTGAGGCAGTTGGAATGAAAGAAGGGGTTCTCCCCTCTCCTTTTTCTCAAGTAGCCAGTAACATCCATGACAGAAGGCACTGGCTGGGCAGCACCAGAAAATAAGAGTTAAGAGCTCAACCATCAGATGGAGATGGCGTTAGAAGTCTGAGCCTTGCCACGGGACTGGAACGCAGGGCAGGGTTCAGCAGAGGCCTAGGTCCCAAGTAGGCCCATCCGGTCTTCCCTTCCTTCTAAGTTAGAATACCCAGCTCTGGGGCCTCCTCATTTTGCACAGCAGAGACCTTAAGGCAGTGATTTCAGCACCATCCTTGGACAAACAGCCTCTTCCCACCACAGAATTGCATATTTTACAGCTGAGTTGGTTGGGGATCTTCACAGCTCGTGGAATTAGCAGCAATAGCGGTAACGGTCTCCATCACAGAGAACCCTGTCGTCCCTGGGAGCTTACTAGGCGAGCGCGGAAGCTTTTCTGGGGCACAGTCTCGACCGTCTTGTGGATCTAAATGAAAATATTCCGATATGAAGATTCAGGTGCAGCGACTCCTCAGCTGGGTGGAAAAGAGTGATCCGGGTTAGGGTGACTATAGATTCTGATAAAGTCTTGTGCTACTTAGGAATCTGAAGAGCAAACACTTCAGCCCAGGCTCATCACATATCCCTGACCTGCAGAGCCCTGAAACTTCAGCCTATGAGGCAGCTCCGCCTGGAATCTGGTCCCACAGGGGCTTTCTGAAAGGGCAGGAAGCGGACGTGCCCACTCCAGACAAGCAAGATTCCACAGTCTCTCAGGCTCCGTCTGAACTGATCCCAGATCTTCTGCCCCCAATGTACTGGACAGCACAGCTAATCAAAGGCTTTTTTCTATCTGGCTCCTTGGGTTTCAGCTACATTTCTTTGCTGATCTTGAAGGTCTAGATAACAAGGGGGTGTACACTTAATGGAGGTTACGTTTCCTACTAGACTGTGAATTTAAGGGCCCAAGTCTTGTCTTTTTTTTTTTAGCCTATTGACTGGTATGCAGTAAGTACTCAGTCTAGGAATGGTCAAATGAAAGAAGAGGGACTGCCAGACCTTCGGGGCAATAGCAAAGGGTCAACCTCTGCAAAAGGTAGGATCTCTTTGGAGGGAAGATATTAGCCACCAAGTCAGACTCCTTGAAACTTATATTCTGGTTGGGATTATCTCACATGGATGTCCAGTCTCTTGTAAGTGAATATTCACTTGTTAAAACCAAACAGTAAGGGCCAGCTGGGATATCTGGGTTCAGTCAGGCAAAGTGGCTACCAGCAGAATAGTGCAGTGAGGGGCCACACAGGCCACAAGACGGGAGTATTTCCAATTTCCTGGTTTTCCTCCAGTCCAAGATGAAGCTCAGAGTAGATCTTCCATCCTGATGGAGCTACATAGACGCTCTCACGCCAGAGGCTGGCAGTTGAGCTCCCAGGCAGAACGTGTGCTTTCTCAAAAGGGAGGTCAAGGGAACTGGGTTCCTCTTCTCCCACTACTTCTGGGCCAGTGCTTCATATGTCACGTAAGCCCCAAGGATGCCAAAGATAGTGGCATGGCAGGTGTCTAGCTGGTGCCAATTAGATGGCATCAGAGTCTCCAAAGAAAAACCACTTGGAAAAGCCAAACTAGCCCCTGGAAAGGCAACCAAGCATCTTGTGGACATGTGAGGAAATGGAAAAAAAAAAAAAAAGAAAAAGAAAAGGAAAATGAATAGGCAAATGGTAGGAAAAAATAGAAACAAAATAAAAAACAAAAATAAAAAAGTAGGGTTTATTGACTCTCATGCATGTTAAATTAGAGGGTAGAAAGACAGAGCTAGTCTTTCTCTGAAGGCTGCAAAGTTATTTTTGTGGTCTGGTAACTTCTTAGGTTGGCAGCCGTCTTGTCAATATCCCTGCGTCATCCAGAGGGCAGGAGCGGGCAGCTCTCTTTCTACCTTGGCAACTGGTTCCCCTCTCTCCAGCTTCGTTTTTCCCTTTTTTTTTTTAACCGTTTACAGATTGATTTAAACATTTTTAAAACCACATGCTTCTTTTTCTGGGCTCCAGCCAGATCTCCGGGGGAAGAGTTGTTGGCAGTGGTGACGGAACTGGGAAGAGTCTGCGAGAAAACCAGGCGATCATCCTGCCTCGCTCCGACTTCCCCGCGAATGACTGTCTCTCTCAGAGTTGTCTGCAAGAATCAGTTCGGACTGCTGCAGAGTTTTTTGATGTCTTCTGAACCCCTCCCCAGAAAGCCCAGGAGTTTGTAATTGAAAGACGAAGTCAAGGAAAAGACCCAGAATCATCTTTTCCCCAAAGTCATGAGAGGAGGCCGGTAATGTATTCAGGGGACACAAGTTCCCAAACTCCACCCCACCAATCCTTACTGGGAAGTTCTCAAAGGTGCAGCACCAAGAACTTGCCCCTCCTCCTTCTCCTCCTCCTCCCTCCTGTTCTCCTCCTGGGGCTGGAGAGCCAGTGCTCTGAAAGAAGAGAGGGGAGAGGAGGAGCGAATGTAGCTGACGCCAGCGTTCTGCTGTCCGGGGTGACAGTGACTGCTGGACCCTCAGAGTGTTGCCTGGAGGTTGGGGTCCAAGATAGTTTCTCGATCTGGAGACTCAATGTAGTTGGCAGCTTCTTGAAGTTTCAGCAGCATGGCCATCTAAAGAAGGGCAAAAAGATGGATTAATGAGATTTGGTGGGGGGGCAAGGGCAATATACGTAACCTAAACATCTGTACCCCCATAATATGCTG